TTTTTAGGCAAGTGGAGGTCTTGGGACGCTAGCTTTTGGCAGCTTGGAAAAATCACATCCTACCTGAGACTGGATTTGGCTCCAAATCAATCCTGACCTTCTCAGGGGTGGTAGGCAAAGCACCTTTAGCTGCACAACACAACGGGTCTCGAACAACACATTCACCGGTCTACAGGCTGCGCTTGCCTGACGTAAAATGCTAAGCAGTCTCTCTAAATTATTTCCTTTTATCTGTTGAATGGCAGCAACTAATACTTCTGTGTTTGCAAAGCTTTGCACCTTTACAGAGACAACAAGAACAGCAACAGACTCGCTGGCCTCTTGCAGCTCTGTAAGGGTAAAGCAGGCCCGTTCCTCTTGGCATTGCTGGAAACTGTCCTAATTATTTCAGTATAGCTCAAACAATTTACTCCTGGACCTTCTGTTCCTCTCGGTTTTAGAAGGGGCAGGTTATTTGTTCACGGCAGGTAAAATTTGATCCCAGTAGGCTGCCATTACCGAAACGAAGCTGGAGGTAGGGAGCTCAAGAAAGGCGATTTTCTTGCTTCCCAGGCTTGCAGGAAGCAGCACGACAGCCCAGCCGCCTCCCGAGGCAGCAACTTGCCCCTGGCTGCCTTCCTTCAGACCCCACCGCAAGCGTTTGAACCCCACAACCCACCCCTCACAAACCAGGACCAAGCCGCTTGTACCTCAGTAAAGGTGGTTTTTCCTAATCTGTTTGTTTCTCAAATCTCAAAGCACCTTTCTGAAGACGACAGCGTTATTAAAGATCCAGACCTCCCAGGAGCAGGTTTTGAAGCAGCAAGGACCAGGGCAGGTGGAACCCAGCGCTATTCTACCAGGAGGCGGTGAGTAGGGGGAGAAGGGAAAGGAGCTGAGGTCATGGTGGACCCATCCGCCGCGAAAGCACAGCTTCCACCTTTCCCATCAAACCTTCTGTTATGAAGCGTCCGTGAAAAAGGATATAAATGAAATTTAAAAGTGGTTGAACTGAAAACGGAGCCGTAGTTGCGATTTTACAACCAGTGGAAGCGCTGAAATCGTGCAGGTCCAAACCACCACGCACACGTGTGCTTACGCAAAGGAAGGAAGGTTTCAACAAGCACTGCAGAGCAGAGAGGGAGGAGGAGGAGGGCTGATCGGCCGACAGCACAGCTACTCTTTGGTTTCTTCTACACGTAAAGTCCAAAGACGTAAAGCAAGAGCTCTGTAAAATGCCGAAGATTTTAGAAGAGCAATGGCAGGTAGAAAAGTACACTGGTCTTGGATCAGTGGCAGCCCCAGTGTTAGGAGACAGTCTAGGCTTCTAGGAGGAGAAAATAGAAGAGAGGAAAAGAAGGAGGAGAGGGAAAAGGGATGGGGAAAGGGGCAAAAAAGCGCAAGTCATTAGTAAACATGAAACATTCAGGTAGCAACACCGCACAACAAGCAACATTTCATTTCGTGCAGCCAGGAGATTTGCCAAAAGCCCGACCGGAGACACAGGGAATTTTGCTTTGACAAGTGTCTGTGTCACCACGACACCGTGCCACATGCAAAAACCGGCTGCGGCAAACCAAGATTAGTGACAAATCGCTATCAAAAGGGCAGCGGCTCAGGATGCTGCTTAAAAGCACAATTTGAACTGGGAGCAGCGACCAGAGGGTTTGACCCCATCTCAGGAGGCAGAACGACGAGCAGGCTGGCTGAAAGTCCAGCCAGGGAAAGCACGAGTTCCCCGGGTTGCTCCTCATCCTCCAGCAAGGTAACGGAGAGGACCTTGGAACCAGAGGTACCTGGATTAAACCACATGCTCATCCTTCACGGATTTCTTCCCAGAAATTTGTCTTTTTTTTAAAAATACAGAATTCCTTTGAACTCCAGGCAAATATCCCGCAATAAGGAGTTGCAAACATCGCACTGTTCGAAAAATACACGCGTATTTTTTGTTTTAAACCTGCTGTTGAGGGTTTTACTAAGCCCCCCCCGACCTTTGCACGGTGGAAGTTAGCAGTTAGCTCCCTAACTCAATACCTGCAGGCCACCAGTGATTAGAAGATATTAATAATTTCCCTGCATCCTCGCCGATTCCCTTGCATGGCACCAGATGTGCGCAGCTGCTCTCCGCAGGCCGCACCAACCGCTCCTCCTTCAGCCTTATAAGGAAGCACAGAATTCACAGAGTTTTGGTCTGCGAGCTGAGTACCCACGCTAGAGCTGCTGGTCCATAGCTCTCCTTCTCGAAAAAAAGCCCAAAACCCACAAACCAAACCAGCAATCAAGACTGAGCGCTGCCAAGAGCCGAACCCTTCGGAAGCCGCCAGCCTCGCGCCGTCAGGGCGAGCAGAGAGGGGCAGAGGGCTCCCAGCCTGGCGGTCGGAGTTTTGGCCAACGTGAAGTCAACGTTTTTTCCTTTATGTTGTGAAATGCTGCCCTATACACAGCCCTGAGTCAGCAGCTTAAGCACAGCGCTGCTGTAACGAGAATAATTCCACGGTTAATCGAGGGTTTTGCCCCCCCAGTCACCTTAGTCCTGGATCCACGCCACCTCCTGCGTTAACGGTGTTTCGGAGCGGGGCATCCGGCAGCACAAGCTGCCCAAGGCAGCACTGATTTCAGCCCTGACTGATTCTAACCTCCACATACACTTACAGCAGATGGCTGTAGATAACGTTGCATGCAATAAAACATTAGCAGGTCAGCAACCAGTTTGATTTAATAGATAAAAAAACCACGTAGCAATGCTTCCTATGCTCCAGACCGGAGAGATAAGCAGATATTTGTATTTTCAAATAGCTCAACTACATCTTTCGCCAATACCTTCCCTGAATTCTGTTTCAGAATCCAACTCCAATATATCTCTGCCTTTAAAAGCTCTCTCTGTAGCCCTTAACACTGCTTTTTGTAACAGAAAGCTGCTTTCCTTGAGCACCACCGTCCTCGGTCCTCTCGCCGCTGCTCCGTTTCCCATCTCTGCACCGGGCCCGCACTGCACGTCCAAAAGAATCGTTTCAGCTTTAGAGAGAGGGGGATTCGGGAAGAGATCCAGCTGAAAACAAGCCAGCCAGAAACAGCAGGCAGCTTGGGGCCAGGAACACAAGGCTTCAGGCAGCACCACCTCCGAAATGCAGCACCAGGCGGTACCGAAGCCCTGTCACCTGCTCTGGAACAACCTGTCTGTATTTCTGCAGAGCATCGTCTGCTCTGTAACTCTGAAAACAAACCCATTCTCTGATGGAAAATTAGCAATTCTCCCTCACTCTCAAACACAGAAGCGGGGCTATTTCAAGTATTCCACAGAGAAGGGGCAGGGGGAAGAGTCCATGCAATAGCTGTGTTGTAGAAATCTTATTTTCTTCTGAAAAGCCCAATTAATTTGATGCTTACGACTCCTCATCCTCTGACGGGCTGTCTCTACCACTTTGATGTCACTTTTTGACAGCCTTTGAGAAGAAAAAAAAAAATCCAACTCTACCCCACAAAGCTGGAACGTATTAATAAATCAAAAAGCTTCAGACACATAAAAGTATCTTTGATCAAAGTTGTTAGCATTCAGTGTGTGAAGAGTTAAACCTCCAGAAACCTGGTTTTAGGTAAATAAGATATTTTCTAAACACGATTCAGAAGTTCAATAAGAAAATCCTAATGTATTTAATTAATCACACCTGGAGTGTCATAAGTTGGACTTTATTTGTGTCTCCTTTTAGTGATATGTATTGGAATAAAAGGAGAGGAAGTATCCTTAGGAAGGTTCAGAAGCGTTCTTCATTTCAGTTCTATACTGAATTATAAAAGATGCACAGCTTCCTTTTGACCAGATTTACACTGGCAAATTAAGTATCAAGATTAATTTTTATATTCCCATCCTCAGAAAGAACATGAACACTTGCTCACACTAAACAGAACGAACAAAAAAGGGGTTTAATTCGTCCCTGTCTCCCACTCCCATGCATTCACCGTTCTCTCCGGGATTATTTTTCCCTTGGGGCCGCAGCTACAGCCTGGCCGGGGTGCTAGCGCTGGGCACGTCCCCGCAATCCTAGCGACGATCTGCGCCGCTGAAGCCGAGCCGGAGGCCAGGAAAAGGGAGACCAGATCAACAGCTCTCACCAACGTCAGGATGACAATCACCTTCCGAATGTTTTATCCTCAAGAAAAGAGAGGTGGTACCCCACGGGCTGCCGAAGTCCGCGGCACAGAAGGAAGCGATTCACCGGCTCACGCACGCAGGCACGGAGTTTGGTGCAGCTCGTCCTGACCACTTGGGTTGGAATTTGGTAGGAAACTCAATTCACGGTAACAAAGTCTCATAAAAGGGAGCTGGTGCTTGTCATTAAACACAACTGCTAAAAGAAGACTATCTTCAGGTCACTTTAGGCTGCTTGGAAAGATCAATTATTTCCCAGACTCCTCACAAGTTTGAAACGTTGGGCCACTTACGCCGCGACAAGTTTCTTGCAGACAAAGCTAGCCTAACGTTCAGAAGACCTCAACTTCATCTTTCACACTGCTAAAGTATTAGGGGACATCTACAGAAGGGTAGCTTGGGGTGGAAGGAGAAACTGCAGAATAAGAAAAGCGGTGTAATTTCGGTAGCAGCTAAGAATCAGTAAATGGAAAAACCCCATCCACGTACGGTGCACTCAGAAGAAACCTTGCTCTTGGTCTTGCAGGGAACAGAAGTCATTCTCAGGGGTTAGGGTGGAGCTCAGCCATGAATCTCATGGAGGCCCTGCCAAGCCATTTAGGTATCAGCACCCTAGATGTTGCCTTCCCAACATTGACCATGGATAAAGTACACAACGTCTTCAGAACCAGGCTCTATGCAAATCAGCAATTTCAAACCCAATCAAAGTTCTATTTTGTTTCAAATTCTTTGAAAAGATCGTAAACAAACCCAAACCAACCCTCCATGGAGACAGAAGACTCAAAAAGAAGCTGCATTTTGTCACATTGAGGTTCTACCACTCCAATACGAAATAAAGAAGTCGACATGTTTCCTTCAGACGTTAAGCACGTACCTGTGCGGTGGTCTTCTATTCCATGGTCGCCATTTTCTACAACTGTTGGCCCAGAAGCTGAAGTATCTGCAAGAAATCAAAGGAAACGTTTGCACTGGATGAAGTTAATCTTTATCCAAACCTTAAAAACAACATTATAAGAACAGCATTGTAATGTGAAATAATGTGTGTGTCGTCCCCCCCCATAATTATTTCTGAAATAAGTTAAGGTACCCACATGGCATGAAGTCAATGCAACTTAAAACCCAAAAGAAAAAGCTTTCCAATCACAGAAAGTCGAGTCCCACGAAGCAGACTCCAGGCATAACAAGTAGAAGGTTCTTTATCCAGTCATCCCATCACCCCAAACCAAGCTTTCCCAAGGGCCAGCCCTAGACCACCGCGAGTCTGGATTTCCTTCAAGCAAATCACGCGTAGCCAAGCTCGTAAATCTCGATGGGCTTGGCGAATGCGAGACAAGAGCAGCTGAAGGTGTTGACCTTGACTTCAGCAAGGGTTTTAACACCGTCTGCCATGACATCCTCGCAGACCAGCTGACAAAGCACGGGTCAGATAACTGCACGGCAAGGTGGATGGCAAAGTGGCTGAAGAGCCAGGCTCCGAGAGGGTGGTCGCCAGCATAAAGTCCAACTGCAGGCCAGTCACCACCGATGTCCCCCAGCAGCTGACACGGGGGCCAACCCTGTGTAGCATCTTCATGAATGACCTGAACAACACAGAAGAGCACATCTTCAGCAAGTCTGCTGATGATACAAAACTGGGAGGACTGGCTGACACGCCAGAGGATTGTGAGGCCATCCAGAGGGACCTGGACAGGCTGGAGAGACGAGCAGAGAAGAATCTCATGAAGCTCAACAAGGAGAAACGCAAAGTCCTGCACCGAGGGAGGAATAAGCCCAGGCACCAGTATACACTGGGGGTCAACTTGCTGGAAGGCAGCTCTGCAGGAGAAGACCTTGGGGTCCTGGTGGCCAACAAGCTGAACATGAACCAGAACCGTGCCGAGAAGAGCAGACCTGAGAGGGATGAGCGCAAGCATCCGAACGGAGGCTGGAAAGCAGCCCGGGGCACGTTCTTTTCAGTGGAGTCCAGAAACAGAAGAAGAGCCAACAGGCACAAAGCAATACCCCAGAATTTTTACATCTTGGTCCACTTCCGTCACGACAAGTTTCTTGCAGACAAAGCTATCCTAATACTATTAGAAAAAAAGGATCAGAAGACCTCAATTTCAGCTGTGACAGCACACTGCTAAAGGAGAGATCAGGGAGAAGGGTAGTTCAGGGTGGAAGACCACCTATTCCCCAAAATACCACGTAAGATACTCACCACCAAGAGATTTACTCTATATTGTTCTGACACTGTCAGATAAAATTTTAACAGGCACCAGGATTTCCACACTGAACTTGGAAAACACGGCAGCAATGCAAGACCCAGCGATAGCTGAGGCAATGTGGAATCAAAGCACCGAGCTCTAAACTTGGCTTTGCTGTCTGCTCCGTGGGCTGCCCCAGGAAAGCCACCCTGCTAACAGGTAGCTAACTCCAAGTGTGCAACGCTTGTGAAAAAACTGCTTAGAAACCATCTTTGTACTGTGTCCAGTGCTGGGCTCCCCACTTCAAGAGAGATGAGGAGCTACTGGAGAGAGCCCAGCGCAGGGCTACGAGGATGAGGAGGGGACTGGAGCATCTCTCCTACGAGGAGAGGCTGAGGTACAGCAGATGTGTATTCTGCCATCCAGAGGGACCTGGGCATGCTGGAGAAATGGGCTGAAAGGAATCTTGTGAAGTTCAGCAAAGGGAAGTTCAAAGTCCTGCTCCTGGGAAGTGACAACCCCAGGCAGCAGGACAAGCTGGGGATCGGCCAGCTCAAGAGTAGCTTTGCAGTAAAGGACCTGGGGGTCCTGGTTGCCAGCAAGCTGACCGGGAGCCAGCAACGTGTCCTTACGACAAAAAACACCAACAGCCCCCTGGGCTGCATCAGGCAGAGCTTGGCCAGCAGCTCAATGGAGGTGACCCTTCCCCTCCATGCAGTCCTGGTGAGACACGTCTGGAGTGCTGCATCCAGCTCTGGGCTGCCTGGTACCAAAGACATGGACTCACTGGAAAGAGTCCACTGAAAGACTGTGAAGATGATTCAGGGCTTGGAACATCTCTCCTATGATGAGAGAGCTGGGACTGTTCAGCCTGCAGAAGAGCAGGCTCTGGGGGATCTTAGCAGTGTACATAGATACCTGAAGGAGGGGGAAATGAAGACAGAGCCAGACTCTTCTCAGCCAGCAGGCCACCCATGCCCTGGGCTGCATCCCCAGCCGCGTGGGCACAGGGCGAGGGAGGGGATTCTGCCCCTCTGCCCCGCTCTGCTGAGACCCCCCGGGAGTCCTGCGTCCAGCCCATGGCAGGGGGGTTGGAACCAGATGAGCTTTAAGGTCCCTTCCAACCCAAACCATTCTGTGATTCTATGAATTTAATTAACATAACGGTAGGACTTTTTTTTTGTTTTCCAAAGCACAATTCTGGTTCCAGTACCCAAACAGCTCTTCCTAATCATCAAAATATGCTCGCAAAATTCTGTATTCACCCCATAATCTCTACTGAGCGCTGCTGAGGGTCAATAACTACAACTGCTTAGCAAACTGCTTGAGGGATTTAATTTATTTTCAATTACTGCCTTTGAGATCAGGCTGTGGTCCTTGCTGAAGTAGCTGGATCGCGCTGGTATTAACGCTGGTGCGGGCTGCCAGCAGCCCAGTGTTTCTGTAGGCAACCACCACCATGGCAGGCAAGTGTTACAGGGCCATTTACCTAAATTG